TGGTTAGAGTGCTTGCTCTTAACAAGGTTGCCGGTTCAACTCCCGCATGGGGTGGCGGGCTGCCCCCCGCCCCCGCAACTGGATTGAAAATGGCAACTGGACTTGGAGCTGACCTGCACCCTCCACAACTAAGACTGAAGGACAACAACTTGACTCGGAGCTGGGAAAAACACAATAAAGTTAAAAAAAATTTTTCTACTCTAGTTGTAGATTTATCTATATATCCTTATAGATTTTTACTCCTGTCATTTTTATTTTATATATTTTGAGGCATTTTTATATGCATATACATTTAGAATTGTTACAACTTCCTGGTAAATGAAAATTTTTATTATGTGATAGAGATATAACTTGTATCATTATAATGAGTCTCTTTACCTGTAATCATGCTTTCATGCCTGAAAGCTATTTTATATAATATTACTGTAGCTAATCAGCTTTCTTTTTGCTTATTATTTGCCAGGTAAACCATTTTATACACTTTTGCTTTAAATTTATCCACATCCTTTTGTTTATATGAGTCTTTCATAAAAAGCATATACCTGGATTTTAAAACATTCAATCTGACTTTTGTCAGTTAAATGAGCATTTAGTCTATTTATATTTATTGTAATTACTGACATATTTGTATTTCTGTTCACCACCGTCTTGTTTTTTTCCTTTCCCCTGCTTTTCTGTTTCTTTTTCTCTCCTTTCTTGCCGTTTTGAGGAGATCTGGGAGTTTTTCTTTATACTAGAATAGGGAGTCTTCTGACTTAAATTCATATAAAGAAATTTGACTAAAGTCAGATTCTTTCTTAAACTAGGGTTTGATTAAAAGGAAGAGAAAAAAAAAGGAACTAGAGCAGAGGTTCTCAACCTGTGGGTCATGACCCCTTTGGAGGTCGAACGACCCTTTCACAGGGGTCGCCTAAGACTATCAGAAAACAAAAAGATATTTACATTACGATTCATAACAGTAGCAAAATTACAGTTANGAAAATAATTTTATGGTTGGGGGTCACCACAACATGAGGAACTGTATTAAGGGGTCACGGCATTAGGAAGGTTGAGAACCGCTGAACTAGAAGAAGGAGGAAATGGTTTTTTAAAAAGTGGAAATGGATACCACCTCACAACCATTAGAATGTGGAGAAATTGGAACATTTGTGCATTGCTGATATGAATGCAAAATGGTGTAGCCACTACGGATAAGAGTATGGCAATTCCTCAAAAATTTAAAAGTAGAATTACCCATGTGATCCAGTAATTCCAATTTTGGGAAAATACCTAAAAGAACTGAAAGAAAGGTCTTGAAGAGATACCTGTACACCCATGATCACAGTAGCATTATTCACAATAGCCAAAAGGTAAAAACAACCCAAGTGTCCATGGACAGATGAATGGATAAACCAAACATGATCTATACATACAATTGAATATTATTCAGCCTTAAAAAGGGAGGAAATTCTGACACATGCTACAATGTAGATGAACCTTGAGTATATTATGCAATGTGAAGTAAGCCAGTTGCAAAAACAAATACTGTAAATACTGTATGATTCCATTACATGAGGTACCTGGTGTAGCCAAATTCAGAGACAGAAAATAGAAAGGTGGTTGCCAGGGGCTAGGGAGAGGGTGTATGGGGGGTTATTGTTTAGTGGGTACAGAGTTTCAGTTTTGCAAGATGAAGAGTTCCAGAGATGGATGGTGGTGATGGTGGCACAATGATGGGAATGTACTTAATGCCACTGAACTGTACACCTAAATATGGTTAAGATGGTGAATTTCAGGATATGTGTATTTTATCACAATTTCTTAAAAAGTTGAAATGGTGGAGAAATAAAGGGAAAACTGACTTTACTTCCTTCATAATTATATATGACCAGCTCTAAGTCCTTTGCTTTGAGGAACTGTAGCTGTTGACAGATTGTATTGCTATTTCCATGTTTCTCATAAGAACCCCAGCAAACAGTTATTCTAACTAACCCTTGTAAGACAGAGAAAAGAAACTTGCTCCAATTCCCAACAATGGTATAAACTGGAGCCATAACTTTGGTTCAGGTCTTCTAGGTACGTGAAAACGCTGCCACAGCGAGGTAGCTGGCAAGCCACCATATGTTTGTAGCTCTGAATCCAAATTCAAGCACTTTTCACCAAATGATTGCTCCAGCTTTTTGCCGACTGATCATATTACTTTATATAATCTGGGAACATTCTTCAGCTCCAGTACCTTATTTCAACTGCATGGCAAAGTTACACTGTTGTGCTCAAAGCTACGTTTGTAAATTTCCACAAAGCATGTTTCTGTCCTCCCTGCTTGAGCAATTACACTTCAATTCACATAATATTACTCTTAGTACGCATCACATTCTCTAGCCTAGAAAAACTCTGCTGGTGATTTAATTAGAGGTAAAGACAACTTGAGAAACATGCAGCATTAAATTTGGTTCATGGGTGATACCATGAGACAGTAATCTGTTTACATGTCTGTTTCTCTTCACTGTAAAGTCTTGATTCTCCACTGAGAGCAGAGACAGTGTCAGATTCATTTTTGTATCCTCAGTCCCTCACCCAGACCCCCAATAGCTGATTGTTGAGGTGGTGGCTGAGGTACCAATGGAGGTGTCAGTGATGGAGATAGTAGTGGGAGGCAGTGGTTGATGTCAAGGCAAATTCCAAAAATGATAAAGAATAGTAATAGCTAATATTAATAAGCACTTATTCTGTCACTCTGTTGGGTGCTTTACATATATTAACTGTGAAATCCCAAAACTATACTATGTGATAAGTATTACGATCCCATGTTTCAGATGAAGAAACTAAAGATCTGAGATATTAATATTATTTTTGCCCAAGGTATCACAGATAATAAGCAGTATAATCAGGATTTCTTGAACCTAAAGCTTATACCTTAAGTCTCTGCACTATTTTACTTCTTCATACAGTTACATACTATTCCTGTTTTGTATTTTAATGTTTTTCAATGCATCATCTTACGGTAGGAAAAGTACTAAACTTTCAGAAGAAAGACATGTATGTTCCCCACTCCATCACTTGCTAATTGAGCACGCCATTTCATCCTCTATATAATGGGAAATTCCTGCCTAGCCTACGTGACTTGTAAGATTGTCTCAGATGAAGTAGCTTGTAAACTAAAAAATTAATTGTAATAAATACTGGATGTTCTGCTTCTACTTTTATTCTCAATAAAATTTAGGTCTTTCAGGTCAATTAAAATCTTAAGTTTGGTGAATATTTTCCTTTATGTATGTAGTAAAATTTATCCTAAAAATCTCAATATGAATCTGTAGGATTACTCAATATGATCACTCTTTTTATTGCTAAAACTTATTTTTCCACCTTTACAGTGGAAAACTCTGACAGATACTACCAATTGGGAACATCACCAATAGTGGGACAAGCTGACATGCACTTAGTGTGATGCACTGAGACACATCACTTATATAGTATTCCTACCAAAAATCTAACCATGAAAAACAATCAGATAAACCTATTTTATTACAAAACAAATGACCTACACTCTAAAACGTATCGAAGACAAACAAAAACCGAGGGATGATTCCAGGTTTTACAGAGACTAAAGACACATAACAACTAAATACAACGTGTGATTCTGAAATAAATAAAAAAATTTGCAGTAAATGGCATTATTGGGACAACTGGCAAAATTTTAGTAGATAGTGTACATTAGATAATATTATTGCAACAATGTTAAACACCCTGAATTTGATCATTATATTTCAGTGAGAGAATGCCCTTATTCTTAAGAGACAGATACACACTGGAGTATTTAGGGATTAAGAGCCATGATGTCTGTAATTTACTTTCAATCGGTTCTCCAAACAAATATAAATAATATAAAAATACTACATACTTATGCATGGGCTAACATTCTTAACTCACAGAGATCACCATATTGGGATAAAATATGCAAATGTCAAATGGAAGAAAAATTTGTTTTATTTGTACAAGATGGTACTAATTTTCCACAAACATGCCAAGAATCAGAGAAATCTAAATATAGATTAGAAATAAGGCACTTTTGGGTCAGATGTAAAGAAGGCAACAATCAAAGCTGCTGAATATTAGAATTCCTGTAGTATGTCAGAGAAGCCACCCCATGTTTTGAATCTCAGAGTGTCCTCAGGGATTTTTATAGTCAGTGTGTCTAGGCTAAGGACACCTGTTAGGTTAGAAGTTTAGCTGAACACAGTCCCCCGATCTCTAACAACCATCCCTGACACACTCTACGCCTTGTGGGACCCTAATGTCAGGTCCAGAAGGGGACAATTAACCGAGGGTGAGCCAGCCCGAAGTGTGTGTGGGTGTGTGCGTGTGTGGGTGTGTGTGTGTGTGTGGGTGTGTGTGTGGGTGTGTGGGTGTGTGGGTGTGTGGGTGTCTGTGTCTGTGTCTGTGTGTGTGTGTGATAACATACCCGATGCCCGAAAAGTCCCCAATGCCCAAGTACCTCCTGAGAGTAAATGAGTAAATGGATCCAACAACAACTGAATTAATGTCCTGGAGTGATTTGCAACGAAAAGGCTAGCGACTTTGCTCAGGACTGACATTAATCCTACTTCCTCAGATTTTAAAGACAGTCCTCCTAGTCACGTCTTAGTGGCTAAGTCGTGTAAGTCAAATGGAAGAATTATTTACTACAGGGCAGGGGACTGGGGGAGGGTCTACAGGTGCCGGTACGCTGTCTTTAGAACTTAACCCGTTTAAATGGTCAGAGAAGCAGACTGGTACAACCTAAGATTCGGGCGCACTTGGTAAACTCATGACCTGCCCATAACTTCCTAAACTGAACCGGCCGCAGGCACTTCCCGTCCGCTTCCCAGGCGGGGACACGCGGGCTCCGACCTACCCACGCATTCCAGAGGGAAGGTGCACCCCCGGGGCCTCCACGCCCGGTGCGCTCTCCGCCTTGGAGAGGCGGCCCAGGCACCGGCTGGGGCCACCCCCCGCGCGCGGCCCGCGGGCTGGGACTGTACCTCGGGCGCGGGTGACGAGGCGCCTAAGGCGGCGTCGCTGGTCGGGTGCAGGCGCCTGGGTCCCGAGGAGCCGCTGCGGCTCATGACTGCCGGAGCCCCGCGGCGCGCTCGCACCCAGGCCGCCGAGAGCGAGGCTGCTTCGCCCGGAGCCGGCGGGCGCGTCTCCTCGGGCAACCAGGAAACGCGGCGGGAGGCGGCGGAGCCCCGACGCCCGCGGCGCCTGCGTGACCCCGCGGCCAGGCCGAGCTGCGAACCCGCGGGGTGGCCCCGCCGCCTTGGCCTCAGACACGGGTCCCCGGGCGCGGGGCCCACCCCAGTCCTCCCGAGGGTGTCCTCCCGGCTTCGGCGGCCCCATCTGGCCAGGCCAAGGCTTGGCTGAGCGGCGGACACTTGCCACAGCGACGGGGGCACAGCGGGGTTGGGGGCTGGTCTTCACCAAGGACTCCAGCGCGAGCGCAACTCCAGGTCTTGTCCTTCCCTCGGGGACCAGTGACAGCCAGTGGTCAGTGGTAACAGTGCTGGTGCGCGAGGTGCGGGAGCATGCTGACACAGAGGTGAAGGAGCGTTTATTTGGCACTTACTGTGTGCAAACGCCTCTGCCTCTTGGAGGTCCAGGGCCGGCTTCGTGGCTGTGCCACAAGCCCTGCGCTCAGAAGGGTCCCTCGCTGGCTTCATGCTCTGCTGCCCCAGCCTTGACGTTCTTACTGACTTTTGAACTAAGAGCCATACATTTTCATCTTATACGGGCTCCACAACTTGTGTAGCCTGCTCTGAGCGTTCTTGCATTTAACTTCTCAACAACTCTGCGGGGAAATATAAATAACAGTAATACTGGAGTTAATTTACAGCCGTAGTTTCTAATTGTGCAAGGCTCGCATGTGTTCTCATAAAAGCTGTTCTAAGTGTTTCCCGTGTAATTACCTCAGTAAATGAAACAAGGTTGTGAAGTGGGTGTTAGGATTATCCATTTTGAAGATGAGGAACCGATCCCAGGGAAATGAAATAAATTGCCCAAGGCTATACAGTTGGTCGGTGGCAGAGTGAGATCAGACCCCAGCTCACAAGAGGAAAGCGCAAAAAAGCTGAGTAACCTGCCTCAGGCTCTACAATGTGTAGCAGCACCTAAAAATGGAACCCACGTTCACCCCACCTTAAGGCCCTTGGTAGATCTATGTACTGTTCTAAAATTTTTTTAAAAATCAAAGAGATGGCAGCTTTTCTTGGATTCTGCCCAAACATCCTACATGCATCCACTACTGTGTCTGAGGATTCCTTGGCCTTGACAATGGCTTTTGATCTTATAGCAACATTGCCCCATATCCAATCCAGAATCACCTCAATGCTTTCATTTGAAGCAACTTTTTGTAAAAAAAGTCCTTAGTGAAAACTAAGACTTTCAGAAATTTCTTATTAATAGTATAGTTTGTAGTAAACATGTTTTCAAGTTGCAGTTTTTCCTTACAGTAGAAATCACCGCACATTTGTTAAATTTTCAGTGAAACGACACTACCAGATGAAACACAAAAGTTGATGAAAACTCAGGGCACCTGGAAGAAAACCACCCTGAGAAAGTCCCTTGCCCATTAACTCTACATCCAATTGTTTCAGAATTCAATTTTATAAAGTCTAATTCTAATCATTCTGATCAATCTTATAACTCTTCTTCACGGCAACAGAAAATATGAATTCGCACGGTCTTTAAAAAACAGTGTTGATGACGGATACATTAATTAACTAGATGGGAAGAATCTTTTCACAATGTCTATCAAATCATCACTGTGCACATTTTAAATACCTTACAGTTTTGTCAGTTTTACCTCAATAAAGCTGAAAAAAACAAACACAAATTTTTTTGAAAAAAAGGTTTTAATCAGTGTTAAATGGATTTTTCTCTGTGTGAAAGCAATGTACTTTTGTGGTAAGTGGGAACAGAAAGAGTGCTTGACCTGACCCCCGCCCAAATGCCTCCGAACTTTCTGATGTCAAGACATGAGCCAAGTGACTTTTTTCTCTTTTTTTAATTATTATTATTTTTTATTACTTTCAGGTGTACAAATCAACATAATAGGCATTTATAGCCCTCACAAAGTGATAACCCCCCTCCCCCAAGCTACTACCCCTCTAACATCTTATATACCTGTTACAATATCATTGACTGTCTTCCTTATGCTATACTCCACCTCCTGTGACTATATATATATTTTTTTAATTATAGTTGACATACAATGTTATTCTACTTCAGCTTTAGTTGTATAGCGCATTGGTCAGGAATCTATCTACACAGCCTATGACGTGATCCCCTTGATAAGTCCAGTGCCCCTCTGGCACCTTACATGATCTTTACAACATTGTTGATTATATTCCTCTTGCTATAGTTCATATCCCCATGACTATATTGTGTCTCTTCAAGGCAGCATCTGGTGATGTGTCCTTTGAGAGTTGAGAAAGAGGACTGATTCTGGATGTAGGTCTGAGCCAGACCCTGGGAGGGGCTTCACCGTGAGGCAAGCCCGCACGATGATGGTAGAACGTGCAGGCTGGCAGTCAGGGGAACTCTGCTTATGAAGACAGTTTAAGCCAGAAAGGAAAGTAAAAGTGCACAAAGCATGCCCCAGCCCAGATTTCTCACAGAACTGCATGTGTGGGCAATATATTATATTATGATCCATAATACCTCAGTACAGACTTGTAGTTTTCTTTATAATGACAACAAAGACAGGAAGCTACCAGCTGTGTGACCTAGCACACCTCATAGAACTATTGTACTTCATTACAGAAGAGAGATGTTTCTAATTCGATGCCAGCCTGAGTTTGGACCAGGGTGTATACGAACTCTTCCACTGGCCAGATTTTTGAAGAGCAACATTACAAGAGCTGCACCCAAAGGAAGAGAACAGGGCAACAGTGGACAGGATCCACTGGAAGAGACAGAGGCGAGGAGGCCCACAGGAAGAGGCTGTCACAGGCCAGGTGAGAGCTGGGACTGGTGGTAATGGGAGTGGTGCCGGTGAGGAGGGGAAGATTGTCAGGTGGAATCCACTGGAGCCTGCGCGAACCCGCCAGGTGGAGGCGTGGCGAGGCCTGAACGGCAGCAAGGACGGAAAGCAGAGGAGGGAGAAGAGAGAGTTCAGTTTGGGACACTTTTAGTCTGAGGTGCCAATAGGGGAAGGCAAACATATTTGGCAGTTTGGAAACAGGAAGTCCTGGGCACATCCAGCTTAAACCAGAATTTCCAGCTCATTCTGCTATCATGTTCGATTTTATCCTGAAACATTTATGAAGCTGGCATGTGGAGATCCATGTTAAATAAACATCGTATCTGAGACAAAATAAAAATGCCTCCTGAGAAACTGGGAGAGTCAGTGAAGAACTATGTTCCTCTGGCTCTTGGACTTTCATTTGGGGGCTTTTCTTGTGTGTCTGTTTGTCTTGCAAACATACAAAACTCGTTTCTCAAAAGAAAGTTTGTAATCTGTTGACAGCATTGGGGGCTTTTGACTTACATTTAGAAAGCTGTCACTGAAACCACTCATAGGACAATTTGGTTGTTTAAAGATTGTTTTAAAAAAGTATGTTTGATTTAAATATTTTCCTAAGCAACTGAATGAAATGTTGCCAAAGACTGCAAACAATTGCTGTAGTCGCCTAATGGCAGATTCGAAGGTGAAATGTAGACCACAGAAATCTGCTATTGGAACTGAGAGCATTTAAGGGTCTTTAAAGCCACTCTCAGCCCTTTATCAGACTTGGTTCAGTTGGTTCAGTTGTTTTGCTGATGATCTCTATTTGATCTCTTTAAGAAATGAGTTCTGGGCCGGCCGAGTGGCGCGATGGTTAAGAACTGGCTTGGGACGCCAGAGGGCCCCGGTTCGGATCCCACATGTGAGAGCCAGTGACACTGCCCTCCACAGCTAAGATGCTGAACAGCTCAACCTGGAGCTGGGCTGCCCTGAGTCGCTGGCACGGTGTAAGCTGCCGCCCCTGTGGCAGTGGGTTGCCATGGGCTACCGTGTGTAGCCAGCAGCCAGCATGAGCGGCCAGCATGAGCGGCCAGCAGCCGCAGTGAGCGGCCGTCCAGAAGCCGGCAGACTGATCTGCCTCACCTGGGAAGAGCGCAATGATGGTGCCAACTTGGGCCAGTGAAGCAACGTCCTCCACAACTAGACTGAAGAACAAAA